AGATTCTCGTTGCTTTGATTGATTTGGATGTTTATGTGCACCTAATATCACAACTCTTCAGAATTGTGACTTGATCACAGAACCATCCTTACCCTAGAGGCAGGATCATTGCAGGAGACTTTTCGGCTAACATGCCAGCAGCCTACTCAGGTCTGGGAAGATTATCAATTGTCATTCTTGACAATTGATGCAGTCTCAATAAACTCCAGGGCCATGTCCCCTCCCCCTCGAGTTCAGTTGCATCATTGTATCATCAGAGGGAGCAGGTCAGATTAGCCTTATGTACATGAGGAAGATGTGAGAATGACTGTAAAGTGTTCAAGGTAGCATGTGTGCTTCAACATCTGCTAATTTCTGATAATCAAACACTGCATATTCAAAATGTTTCATATTTGAATTGTTTCTTTTTCTATGGTCATACTGTCTTGACATCTTCTTGTAATTATAATAATATTAATAAAATTGATTATGCAAAGCAAAATACCAATTGTTCATTCGTTATCATCTTGATAAAGATCTTATACCACATTTTGATTCCAATTAAAATATTTATAAACTAAAATATATATATATATATATCAATACAAATAAAAAATAGCACCTCTGTCATTAACACATCTTCAGAACCAAATAACAACAACACTCACATTTCCTCATCTTGGACTCTTTCAAAAAATAAATTGTTTTTCCAAAAAAAAAAATCTTTGTGCAACACCAAGTGCCAATAATAATAATATTTTGTTTTACATGTTTTTTTTTAAAAAAATTAAAAAATAATGCCTCAAAAAAACACAAAAAGCAAAGAGATGAAAAGAGACCAAGACAAAAGATACATATGGGTAAGTGTTTATTGTAAGAATGGTGATGGTTATCACCACTCATCGTCAGATCAGCACTTTCTTCCAAGATCCTTCTGGCATAAAGACAACAAAATTTATAGAGAACTTCAGGAATTAAATGACAACTCGGGAATAATAAGTGATGACTCCAAAAAAACATTCCTTCACAATAAGTGAATTGTTAATATTCATTGCTCATGTGATTTAAACTATATACCAATGTATGTATGATTATCTTTTGAATGATATTCTTCAATTTTCTTAGACTGCAATTTTATTTCCTTTTATAATACAAGTAACTCTGATGAATCAACTTCCAAAGGATCGAGTTCTGATGTAAGTTTGTGTTATCCAAAATTCAGGTTTACAAGTAGAAATAAGGAATTAAACTTTTTTCTTGCATTGATACTTTTTAGAAAGTAAGAAGGATCCTCCAAAAATTGACAGATGGTTTTTCGGAAGACTCATGATGCTATCCCGGATACCTCAAAGTTGAAATTGAGCACAGGCAAAATAGTGGAGGATATTCTTTTTAATTTTTCTAAAGACATGGATTATGAACAGTAAGTTTCTAAATTCTTTTATCTTACCATACACAATACTGACAATGGTTTGATTAGCCATACTCATTTGTATATTGTGGATTTTGATGATGAGAATATCAAAGCATTGTTTACTGATTCAGAATGGAAAGAATTAACAAAAGATTGAATTGGGGTTCCAATTATTTCACACAACATTACAAAAGAACTGATGAGATGAAAAAAGTACTTTAGAGGATTTACACATAGTAACAATGACATCATTTCTTCAAGAAGAAAAATACAACATTTGTAAACACTATGATAAAGCAGGGTTGGCAAATGTGCAGTCCATTGATGGTCTATTGGTGGTCCATTGGGTCCATTAGTGTAACACTTTGACCATATTTAGTATTTTATTAATTGCAATGGACCAGTCCAAAATCCATCTGTTCTCAATGGACCAGTCAATTTGCCAACCCTGCTCCAAATGAATGTAATGTGATACCATTTATTTTTATTGCTGCTATGCCAGTTGTAGCAGTTATAGCTACTTTATCACTTCCATCAATTCCCTTAAGGTTTGAAGTTATTTTTGATAATAATAAAGTTTTTCCGGTTCCTAATATGACAATGGACATTATCATTATTATCATTTTATTTTAAAGCAATAGTGATGATAATGATAAAAATAATCAATATAAATAGCTTACCCCCTGCTCCAGTGAAAAATGTGTTTCTCTCTTTTTAATAATGAGATCATAAATAAATTTCTGTTTTGAAGATAACGTGATGTTATTATTTTTACTGAATTGTTGGAAAGTTCATATTATCACAAGTCATTAATAAAATTTACTTACACTAGTTAAACTAGTTGCATTCTTTTGACATGTCACAACCACTACCATTCTTTTTTTTTTAACTAGAATGATGAGTAGTGGCAATAACCATCACTGTTCTTTTAATAAACATCTACCTTTTTCAGCACCAAATTTTTCATCTCTTCTTCTTTTGTTGACTTGTTTTTCTTTAGAAAAAAAAAAGAGAAATTTTTATTTGATCGACAAACACATACACACTGATCATTAGTGCTGATCCATTTTTTTTAACATATATAGTACAAAAAGTAGATTAAATTCACTATATAGTAAATATGTCATTTTTTTTTAGTAATAATTTTTTTTTTACAGATGATAATCCTTAACAATACTTTGTATTTCATAAAAACCAATTTTCCTTGAAAAAAAAATTTTTTTTATTTTTTCTATATGCTCTTTACATTGTCTACCAAATTGTCCCACTATATACAGTAGGACAAAAATACTATAGAAATAGTCAAATAACTGATCTATAAACGTAAATATATATATACATACATATTTATAAAAATGAACCAAATTCAGTCTAAGTATTTTAAACATAACTGACAACTTCTAGCTTCTTAATCTAATAGTTTTATTTTTTATTCTTAAATTAGAATCAAATTATAAATGCAATCTGTGTCAACATTATGAAATTATATCTGGTTTTTGGAGCATTACTATTACAAAAAATAGAAGAGGATGAAGAGGACAGATGAAATTTATTCTAGTTTATCATGAAGCTGTATTTGTTCAAATATTTAACAAGCATTGATAGGTGATATATATGATAGAATCTATGGTAAATGACATTATTATTATTATTATTTGATATATATTATTTATTTATAAATTTCGAAAAAAAAATTAAACATCTGTTATGATAATTGACATAACACAATGTCTACCCATCTCTAATTTATGTATGGATTCCACACATAGATAATTGGTGTGTATGGTGTGCTGTATCTAAGACATCAAAAAAAATTGCAAATCTTTAACCCTAATAACTTTGGAAATATTTGTTAGCCCACAAAAACTCTTTATTTTTCAATATTTGGAACATAACCAACAATGTAATAGAGATTTTTAGTAAAAAAAAGTTATGGGGGTTTAAAATTAATTTTATTAATATTGATTTAAAAAATTTCGGCACGCCGATCGAACTAATTTGACCAATCAAAAAATCAAATTTATCACGTGATTCATCAAACGATTTTTTCTTAAAGATATAAAAAATAGATCATTAGATTAATAAATGGTAATAAATGATTGTAATGTCATACTAACATTGTTTATTAGTATCACCATTATTGTCCTTTTTGATTTTTATAGTATTTTTTAAATGACTTTTACTGGTGACATTTTGCTTTATCTATTGTTGAAATTAAAAATTTTCAGCAAGAGGCGCAACATTTAATATGGTGCACGATACACGTTGTTGATCAAATAACAATTCTTTTTATTTCAAAAATGTCATTTATGACAAAAAAAAGAAACCAAGCAGAAAACCGAGGGGCTGATTGTGGATAAGTGTTTATCATAAGAATAGTGGTTATCGCCACTTGTTGCCACCCTAGTTAATCATTAAAAGAGTGGTTGTGGTGGTTGTAATGTCATTCTAGTTTCATTGATTAATTTTATTCTTTTTGAAAATTAATGATGCTATCTGTAAATACTTTAGCCATTCTGTAATATGACAACTTTTTGAGTATGCAGTTGTCAGAAAATCTGTAATATGTAAATGTACCTGTAATTCTGTACTCACAAATGGCTTCTTCGTGTTCAAGTATTTTCCTCCTATGCAAGTGCTCCGACAATTTTTTATCTTATATTTTTATAAAATTTTCTACTAGTTAAATTAAAATAAAAATAAATTTTTTTTTTGTCATTTAATCCTTTGTCTCCGCGAATTTCACAAATCTTTTTAAAAAATGGCAACTACCGAAGAAATTAAACAAGAATTAAAAAATGCGAAAAAGTTGAGAACTTCGGGAAAGGGGGGAAGGTGAAGTTGGCAGAAGAAAAATGATAAAAAGAAGAGTGAGAAAATCAGATACAGATTAAAAAAAGAAAAGAAGAGGCTGGAAGAGGAGAAGTAATTTTTTTTTCTTGGATATGAAAAGTAAAGAAATGGGGAGATGCATTGAATTTAATAAAGAAAAAAGTAATGGGCAAGTTGCATAAAAAAATACACAAAAAGTTATTTTTTCTCATACTTTAATTAATTAATTTGTGCTTTTGTCTTTTTGTTTTTTAGTTCTAAAACAGAAATCCGAAGTAGTGAAGGCAAGCTTGCTCGATTTCTTGTAATTAAGATGTATTAGAATATTTGCAAAACTAATTATATCTCTACTTGTAAAAGATATTGACAGAAGCGCATCAGATCGCGTTAAAAGAATACAACATATTGCATCAACTTTTGTCTTACAACAAAATTGGGTTGAAGAGTTGGATAATGATCCAGTTTTTTAATTGTCGTCCACCAAAAAATTATGATATACCGATTACCTTGTACCGAATAATTTTTAAGTAAGGATTTCAACATAACAAATGAAAACAAAAATATGGTTTATGACCTGCTATTTATAAGATACATTCCGAGAATAGATTAAGAGATTTGTCAACTATAATACAACATATTATAAATTCAATAACAATGATCAATAAATTGAGAAAAGAACACAAAGCGAGAAAATACTTTCTTAACCATCTTTGAATTAAAGAATAAAAGACTTTAGATGTAGTGAAAAGATGCACGATAATAATTTTGTTCATTGTGATATTCGTTTTGACAGTATAATGGCAAAATTAAATTCAGATGGAAAATAAATTGTAAAACTCGTAGGTTTTGACTGGTTGGGAAGCAAAATATCACAATTCCTGAATAAAGATGATTTTTTAGCACAACAATGTATACAAAAATTTGTCATGATCATGATAATCGTTTAATAAATCATTATTATTATTATTTTAAATATAAATGATTTCTTGTGAAATATAGTAACGATTCTTGTTAAGTCATGTGATTTCTAAAATGTCAATAAACTTTTATGTAATTACAGCTACAAAAAATTGATTGTATAATTTACAATGCATTCTGATGTATTTAAAATCCTTTGAAATATTATCAAGAAATATTCCAATAATAGAATTTTATTATTAATGAACTTAAATATTTATATTACTTAGAAAATGAATCATTGACACCACTATCATCAATATTATAATCATCAGAAATTCAAGCTTCTTCAATTATACATCCATCGACTTCTAATAATAATGTATAGATTCAATCTTTCATCAATAATTATCTTTCTAGATCCATATCAAAAAAAGACAAATCTTATTTTAATCTTTTATAATTATAAAAGTTTAATTGCTAAGATTATAGCTAGCCAGGCAAATGACTAAGTCATTTGGATCACTTATCTTTGCTGGGCTTCTTACAATTGTCTAGGTTAAGTGCACAATAAATGTAATTCATGCAATAGATATATACTAATGTGTTATACACACAATTTGCATCAATATTCCTTTAGTTAAAGGAAATCAAATAATTTCTTAAAATCTGCTGTTCTCCACTCTTAGAACAGAGAATGCATCAAAAGTTGCTGCCAGCTTTAAGTAATTATTGACATGTGTTTTTAATTTATTTATTTTTTATTAATATTAAAAACATAAGAAATTATTTTAGTAAGGATTTTTTGTTGTAACTCCAATTCTTTAAATCTACCAATTGAAATTGTTCTATTTCAAACACCAATTTGAGTTTGCTGCTTCACTTTTTCTTTTTTGTATCACATATCACCTCTCTACCTAAATCGTTTCTTTACCTTATTGCTAACTCTCTAATTGCTCTTTTGTTGGTAAATGGTTTTTTTATTCTTAGACTTGCTGATCAAAATAAGGTCATTATCACTATCAGAGTATCATCATTTGTTATTCTTAATGTTTTGTATCATTTTTATCACTTTCTTGAGTAATTTTTGATTATCACATCTGAAACAATCTGTACTTCTACCATTTCTACTTCATTTCCATTACCAATGACTTTTTTGATTTTTGCTTGACACAAATTTATCATCATTATCACTATCATTATGTTTATGATTATTACCACCAAAAATTTCTTCTGCGTATTTATACCATTTCCAATCATATCATGTTTATTGAGCACAATTTGAGTTTTCTTTTAGTTGTCTTAACTTCTTTATGAACATTTCATAATAGATTTTTATATGATTCAAAAGTATCAACATTTCTTCTTCATTCCAAAGTTTTTTCTTTTTATCTCCTTCATTTCATTTGCCACCTTCTTCTAATTTATCATCTACACACTATTCCCACTGTTCCCATTGCTCACCCATGAAATTTGATAAAGAGCCTGTTTTATCATTGTATCATCCATTACTATTTATTGGACGAGAGTTAATAATTTCACGTGTACCTGATGACGTGTCTTTTTGGGTGAAGCTCTTACCACGCTCCCGGTTTTTTGATTTGGTAGAAATGCTACTGCACAAAAGCTTTGTTAATATACTTTAATTTGCCGGTTTTTTCCGGCAATTATTATTTATTATTATTATTATTTTTATTATTATTATTATTATTATTATTATTTCCGACGATCATTTTACATTTTTATTATTATTATTATCA